AGACAGCAAGAGCCAGCTCTGTCAGTGGTGGAAGTTGACTGACACAGATATATGGTCTCCTTCAACTCAAACATGATTTATCCTACCTGGGTGACAGCCTTGCCATGAAAATAGATGTGCCCGTGCTCTGCTGTGCCTCTCTCAGCTTCTCCTGTCCTGTTTGTGTGTCTGGCCAGTATCTCCATTAGGAAGGTCACAATGGAATTGAGATATGTGTTTTCAGTGCCTCAGTGCGGAGGCTGTCCAGGCACAGGCTGCCCAAAGCTCAGCAGCTCCTGATGGTCACTAGTCATGTTGATTTGGTTTTGTCTTTCCCCCCCCCCCCTCCTTAGAACTTGGAAAAATAGTAAAGGCAGGAATCAGCTATGAGACTGCAGGGGCCACAAAGGGTAGAGGCGAGAAGGAAACAGTGCTCATAGTGCTGTGTCTGTCTAGTCTCTGCCACCTCCTGGTGTTCCCCACCCACCTCCTGGGCTCCTGTGGCTCTGCAGGAACTGAGAGGTGAAGAGTGGAGGGCAACTTGGCTCCTTGGTGTGTGCTTGGTGCCATGGAGCTGTACCGCTGCTCTGGGAGTCAGCCCAGCTCCTGCTTGGGCTGCCCCCAGAGCTCTGGGACAACTTGGACAATCAGCCCTGTCACTCCATGTCCCAACGCTTCCCTTGGGGACAGCATCAGTGTGTGGCTCTGCCCGCCAGGCTCTTGCAGAACAACAGGTGTCAGCCACCGATTCTGCACAGAATCGTGTTTTGTACTGATTCACCACTTCGCAGTTGCTGGTAGCTTCATGACTCACTGCTGATATTTTTCCTAGCAGGGTAGGGAGTCATTTAAGCTGCTTTTAACATGTCTGTTCTCCATTGCAGCCCGGGACAATAGAGTTGGACTCCAAGCAGGAGAGCAGCTGCCAGCGTGGTGGCCATGTAGGCTATAATTTCCCTTACAGTACTCTTCGGAAGCCCATCTCTCAGAGCAGCATGGCAGACTGGGCTTCTAAAAATCTGAACATGCACACGCAGGGTATCTTCCGCCGAAGGATCTCCATCTCCAACATGCTGTCCTGGAATGGCAGCTCTATCAAAAAGCCAATGCTCATCACTAGCAACCGCACCATCAAAAAGGAGGCATGTGAGATGTTCAAACTGGTGCAGAGCTACATGGGAGATCGTCAGACTCGCATGGACCGGAATCATGTGGCGTTGGTCACGGTCACCAAGTGCTGGAGCATGCAAGGTTTACGGGATGAGCTCTACATACAACTGATCCGGCAGACAACAGATAATACATGCTACCGAAGTCTGGCATGGGGCTGGGAACTGATGGCCATCAGTCTGGCCTTTTTCTCCCCATCGCCCAAATTTCAGTCTTACCTGGAAGGTTACATTTATCGCCACCTGGACAGTGATGAAAACAGTAAGTGCCTCGTGCACACCCGCTCTGTCCCCAGTAGCAGTCTGGTGGGTTATGCCACTTGTTCAGGGTTGTCTGGTTTTTAAGAAAGCAGGTCATCACCAGCTAGTGCTGTGGTTTCTGTCAGTGAGAGCACCATGTGCTGGGCGAGTTCATCCTTCCTTGGTGGGATGGAGCTGCCACCAGCTCATCTCCCTGCAGTTCTCACTTCTTTCTGGCAAAGATGCCAGCCCTAGACTGTTCTCATCTCACTGATCAGCATGGCAGGATCAGTGCTGAACAGAGCTGATTTGGACCCATCAAGCGCAGAGTTTCTGTGGGTTCTCTGAAGACATGATTGACTTCGAAGCTCCTTTTGGGGGGGGGGAAACGTTAATGCAGAATTTTTTAGGGGAGCCATTACAAACATTACAAACAGGCCTTAGCTTAGTAAATAGTTGGGGATCCTGAAGGATGCTGGCTTTTGTTGTTAATAGATGCGATTTATCTGTCTCTCAGGAACGTTGGGGACCAGCCCAGCATATGTTCAGTTATTACCCCAATTTTAAATTGCTATAGCATCCTGCGGGGGCAGGGGGGTGGGGGGAAGCCAAGTGCCAGCCTGGAGAGTATTTATTGGCTGCTTTGTCACTATTTCAGTAGCGCTCACTGTGTCTTGTCCAGGCTCAGGTGAGAAACTAGAGCACGTGTTTCCACCTGGGGCTTCAAATGCATGTTGAAAGCCCCTGCAGATCTCCTGGGCAGGCGTAGAAGTTCTGCCCTAGCACCCCTCTGCCCCTGCTAGTGAGTGTGGTGGTGGAGGTGGGTCCTGGGGGCAGCGGTGGTGCAATGCCAGCCTTTGCTCTCTGGTTTCATGCTTGTAGCCTTAACATGGGGCTCCATCACTGAACTGCTGGATGTGCGGCACTGGTTTGTGTTTTCATGAGGATCCAAGGCCCTTGTCACTTCTCCCCAAAACCATTCCCTCCAGCCATGCTTGGCCCAGGAGTGAAAAATCACCCTGCCAGCACCAGGGTCCAGGCAGCAAGGAGGCATAAGCTGAACCCTTTGAGTGGATTGTTCCTTCTGCTGGTCTTTCAGCAGTATGTTTACACAGGTATAAGCTTGCTGCCTACAGCCCCTTCTCAACTATTTGGCCATTTGGAGAAGTTGAGTGATATTCTGGGCCCCTCACTCAGGGGCATTTGCAGCTGGCTGCAGTGCAGGACCTTTCCTCAAGCAGACCTCCTCATGCTGGAGTTAGGCTGGCTACCATGTCTAAGGGCAGTTCTGGGGTTTGGTATTTTATCATTCCACATTATTAATCCAGAGCCTCTTTTGAATTTTCAGTTGCCCAGCGCATCAAGGAGCTTGTGGATCTAAAAAACAAGAAGAATTCAAAATCTAGGAAAAAGAGGAAACAAAACACCGAGGATGAAGGTAAAGGTGGGCACAGCGTGCAGGGAGCCAAGAGGGAGGACCACGCTGACCTCAGACAGACGGGGATGCTGAGCTGCACTGAAAATCAGACCATTTCTTTAAGAGCATAGACTTAGACAGGAAACTTTACTGCAGGTGGCCTGTGCAAGAGGTTTGACCAGAGCATGGATTAGCAGTGCAGGTGGCAGCTGGGCAGCACACGGGACGGGTAGCAGTGTGGCAGCAGCAGGGGACCCCTTTCAATCACAGTTGTGTGAGAAAGGAGATTTTAATTTGGATGCAGACCTGGGGCTGTACTCAAATGGTCTGTGTGTGCCACAGAATTTCCTATAACACATACCAGTGCTAAAAGCTGCACGGGCCAGTGTGTTGAAAAGAACCTGTCTCAACTGTAGTACTGGATTTTGTAAACAACCGAGCAACCCGAGGACCTTTGGGGAGGACACTGATATCTGGTAAAGAGCACTGCCTTTTGCTCTCCAGTATTGGCTTCCCCTTGTCCACGCTTCCTGGGCTCTGCAACCCAGGGCTTGCAGTAACATCTTTGCTGAATGAACAAGAGTTTACATATTCCTCAGGTTTGAACTGCTGGCTGCACGATACTACTTTATCTGGCTGAAGTCTTGCTAGACAAAGTCCATTCAATTTTTTTTTTATATTGCTTTCAAGAAACTTGAGCCAACCCCATGAATTCATATCAGGCAGCACTTTTAATCATGTGGCCTCCGTGTTTTTAATCTGGGAGAGCTGGACTCCAGCTTCCTGCACTGCTGAGCCCTACCTGACGCCAGCGGGCAGGCGCGTGAAACTTGGACACCGCAGCACACCCCCTGCCGTAGGAGCGTCTCTTGCCTCTCTGTCTCCAGTGGGATTTGAAGCAGAGACCTGAAATTGCACAGAGGGATTATATTTCTGGTAGGGATACGTCTTTTTCCTTTCCTATTCAGGCCCAGGAGAGTTCCGCCCATTCTGAGTGTTCAAAAGGTCATTTTGCTTGTGCTCAGAGGCACTTTGATATCTTTATGGGACAAATCCCCGGAGATTGTTCTGCACAGGGCGTGCTCTGTCTGTGGGCTGAGCAGGCTCTTCTGTGCCATTGCTTGTCTGTGTTGCATGTGCTGGAGTTGTGCTTAGGAAGAAAGAGGTAGGTTTTATCTAAAAAATACGTTTAAAATAATACACACACACACCCTATATATATATACATATATGTGATTT